CGTAGGTGTTTGATATTTTCGGACTGGCTCGAGTTTCAATACCTCTCTCTTCTTTGCTGCTGTCTCTTTCTGCGTCCGTCGGTGTCGGTAAAATAGAGTTTGAGAAACCTACTACCTTTTTCGTAGCTGTTCCACAGCGGTCCCGACTTTGGAACTCTTATAGAACTTTTATTGTAATGGGTCATTTTAACCCGGTCGGTAGTTTTAGCGATAAATGTAATAATGTTCTAACAGACACGTGGAAAGTATTGTAAAAATGCACAATGGAGAAATTGTGTCAGCCTCACGATACATAAATAATTGTAATAATCATGTATAATAAATCAGAATAAGTAATAAATAGGAAGATTTAAAAAATATTATAATACTGATAAATTGCGATTACTAATAACGAAAAGGATACTTAAAGTAAAAGAAAAAAAAAAGGATTAAAAGAAATAATTTCTGTAGATGATTCGAGCATGCTACAGAGACTTCTACAATTATGACTAAAATTCAAAAAAACACATTGGACAAAATGGATTTGCTTATTTTCACTGTAAATTCACAAGAAGAAAGTTCGGTTAAAGTTAGCGATCGTACAACTGTGACTTCTCTTTTAGTTAATACAAAATGTTTATGTATTAACGCAGTATTTAAAAAGATTAATACACGCAATTTTATGTACATTTCTAAATGTACCATAGATCATTATATTATAAAGTACTGTTAGAAATATTTCTTACCCATTGACCATGGCAGTGAATTTAAGGAGAGTTAAATCTAACCAACCGCAACGTCTCTTTCTATTTGTCGTAACTCCAACCTCGTGCCCTCTCCTTTGTAAAAGCTCGCCCGTGGCATCCAAAAGTTCAGTAGGAAATGGACCATCGCCAACCCTTGTAGTATATGATTTAACCACGCCAACAACTTCACCAATGTAAGAAGGTGATAGTCCAAGACCAGTGCAGACACCGCCTATACTGCAGTTAGAACTAGTAACATAGGGATATGTACCAAAATCTATGTCCAGCATTGCGGCATTTGCACCTTCAACTAATACTTTTTTCCCTTCGCGCAACGCTTGATGTAAATACTGAACCGTTTCTTTTACTAATGGTCTTATTCTTTCTGCATACCTGAAAATAGAACAGAGATATCATTTTCAATAAGTAGCTTTTTAGTGTAAAATAATCTAACATCGTTCCGGCATTGAATTATTCGAAAAACTTATGGCTATTAACACTTAAGAGGGTATTCTAGTCTAGACTTTTAAAAAAAAAGATCTATTTTTTTTTTGCATTTTCTGAAAGTAGACATTTGCAGAAGTATAACTGTCGAAGGATTTTTCCGAATTTGTAAAATTGGCGAAGTTATGGATGGTTAAAGAAGACGGCATGTAGCCCGTAGTCGTAAGTATATCATTCTGGTATGAGAAACTTTAAACGCGTTTTTCTCGAAACAATATTTTTCTAAATGGTTGACATGATAACTCAAGTTCTAGTTGTCCGATTGACTCCAAATTCTGCTGGTTTGAACCAGAATTATGCCAAAATATATATTTTTCCAATTTGTAGAGCCTCTGATAGACGAAAAAAAGTCGAAAAAATCGATACTTCGTATTCAAGGTGCTGCCATTCTTTAAATTTTCAATATTTTTCTTTTATTCTACTACCGACCATAGCGAGGTGCATACTAAATAAGAATCAATTGGATTTTTTTATTGCTGATAAGCAATAAATGCCCGTGTTTGACGTGTTCCACAGCAGCCATATTTAATTATTTTTCAACAAAAAAATTCGTAATCATTCTTGAAGGACAAGTAAATACATAGGAATAAAGCTCATGTTAATAACTGTTACCGTACTTGTGTAATAAATTAGCAAAAAAGGCCTTAAAAAACGGCCGTCACACTAAAAGACCCTCTTAAGGGGGTACACCTGTCAGACAGTTTCAAAAAATCGCTTCCTTTGTGAATTTTTTTGCAGGTAATTACTAAGTGAAAAGTTTCTATTTCTTTGGTGGACAAATATGTAACTTCCGCTTCTATTTTCAAATTTTTTCGAATCAAAAATGCTACAAAATGGCGAAGTTATTTGCTAACTCTGAAGCCGCGTATGTTGGAACATTGATAGTTGGCCGCCATCGCCACCAAAGACTAGAATGCCCAAATTACAAAATTCTTTTTGATTTATAAATAAGAATGTATTACCTACAATGTAGCGTAGGATTTAAAAAATTTTTTAATAATTATAGAAATGGCGACACTTTGAAGAGGAAAAATCTCTTTTTACTAAAAGTTAAAGTTAGCGATCGTACAACTGTGACTTCTCTTTTAGTTAATACAAAATGTTTATGTATTAACGCAGTATTTAAAAAGATTAATACACGCAATTTTATGTACATTTCTAAATGTACCATAGATCACTATATTATAAAGTACTGTTAGAAATATTTCTTACCCATTGACCATGGCAGTGAATTTAAGGAGAGTTAAATCTAACCAACCGCAACGTCTCTTTCTATTTGTCGTAACTCCAACCTCGTGCCCTCTCCTTTGTAAAAGCTCGCCCGTGGCATCCAAAAGTTCAGTAGGAAATGGACCATCGCCAACCCTTGTAGTATATGATTTAACCACGCCAACAACTTCACCAATGTAAGAAGGTGATAGTCCAAGACCAGTGCAGACACCGCCTATACTGCAGTTAGAACTAGTAACATAGGGATATGTACCAAAATCTATGTCCAGCATTGCGGCATTTGCACCTTCAACTAATACTTTTTTCCCTTCGCGCAACGCTTGATGTAAATACTGAACCGTTTCTTTTACTAATGGTCTTATTCTTTCTGCATACCTGAAAATAGAACAGAGATATCATTTTCAATAAGTAGCTTTTTAGTGTAAAATAATCTAACATCGTTCCGGCATTGAATTATTCGAAAAACTTATGGCTATTAACACTTAAGAGGGTATTCTAGTCTAGACTTTTAAAAAAAAAGATCGATTTTTTTTTGCATTTTCTGAAAGTAGACATTTGCAGAAGTATAACTGTCGAAGGATTTTTCCGAATTTGTAAAATTGGCGAAGTTATGGATGGTTAAAGAAGACGGCATGTAGCCCGTAGTCGTAAGTATATCATTCTGGTATGAGAAACTTTAAACGCGTTTTTCTCGAAACAATATTTTTCTAAATGGTTGACATGATAACTCAAGTTCTAGTTGTCCGATTGACTCCAAATTCTGCTGGTCTGAACCAGAATTATGTCAAAATATATATTTTTCCGATTTGTAGAGCCTCTGATAGACGAAAAAAAGTCGAAAAAATCGATACTTCGTATTTAAGGTGCTGCCATTCTTTAAATTTTCAATATTTTTCTTTTATTCTACTACCAACCATAGCGAGGTGCATACTAAATAAGAATCAATTGGATTTTTTTATTGCTAATAAGCAATAAATGCCCGTGTTTGACGTGTTCCACAGCAGCCATATTTAATTATTTTTCAACAAAAAAATTCGTAATCATTCTTGAAGGACAAGTAAATACATAGGAATAAAGCTCATGTTAATAACTGTTACCGTACTTGTGTAATAAATTAGCAAAAAAGGCCTTAAAAAACGGCCGTCACACTAAAAGACCCTCTTAAGGGGGTACACCTGTCAGACAGTTTCAAAAAATCGCTTCCTTTGTGAATTTTTTTGCAGGTAATTACTAAGTGAAAAGTTTCTATTTCTTTGGTGGACAAATATGTAACTTCCGCTTCTATTTTCAAATTTTTTCGAATCAAAAATGCTACAAAATGGCGAAGTTATTTGCTAACTCTGAAGCCGCGTATGTTGGAACATTGATAGTTGGCCGCCATCGCCACCAAAGACTAGAATGCCCAAATTACAAAATTCTTTTTGATTTATAAATAAGAATGTATTACCTACAATGTAGCGTAGGATTTAAAAAATTTTTTAATAATTATAGAAATGGCGACACTTTGAAGAGGAAAAATCTCTTTTTACTAAAAAAAAATATCAACTTTAAACAGTTCTAAAAAATTAAATAATTGAGATATCGAAAAAATCCTAGGCTACGTTGTAGAATACTTTATAGAGAATATTCCTTCAAAATTTGAACGAAATCGGACGTGTAGTTCCGGAGATTTTGTGTCGGTCAATTAAAAAAACATAGTTTCGAGAAAAGTGTAAAAGAATTTATAAGATAAAATTCTTTTCTGATAAAAAGAGGTTTATTATATTTTATCTTTAATCTGCTGTTCCAAGTCCATACAGCAATACTTCTGCATCAGAAAAGATGTCAGCAATCTCCTTTTGCTTTTTTAAGTAACTTTCGTGCTCTTTTACGCTACTCTTCCGCCGTTTCTTCAGAGTTTCTTATTCGTTCTCCGTCCATTACTTTACAAAAGTTGTAACTGTTTATTCCTAAAACTAAACGCATCATTTGCATCATTTTGAAAATATTATTATTTCCCTCGTTAAAGATGCTAGCAGCTGTAAATGTTGCAATGTCAACAGTTTTCTTTCCACGAAACGGCCGTAATATATCGTCAATTCATTTATCAACTTATCCGTTGGTTTTTCCTTATTTCTTTTTTTATCACATCACATGTGATAAGAAAACCTTAAATTACATATTTGTAAACAACAAAATATTGCTCCAATGCAATATCTCCGTTTCATCTGATCTGCGAGGCGTCCCGCATGATACAATCCGTTCCCGTATCTATTGCCGTAACTTCGCCAAAAACATCGCTTGCAAGACATTCTACACACTTGAAACTTCAAGAAAATTAAAAACAATCGTTTTTTGAAACCGTCTGACAGGTGTACCCCCTTAGCACCTGAAAATTGCAAGCCGACGTCTGCAATGGCTTCGGAGAAAACAGCTTGTAACACTTCATCTCTTCCACCCTATATAGATATGTTATCAAACAAACGACAGATAATGATTTCGATTCATCATCGGATAGCAATTACGAAGAGTCATAGCGGAAGAGATAGTGTAATGAAAAATATGAGAAATGAACAAAGACCGGTAATTAGTCACACCGATAATTATGAAAATAGTTTGTCTGAAAGCAATTCGAGGCAAATGTAGATATCAAATTATGTTTAGAAATTTTTAGTGGAGTAGAAGTATTGAATTTATTTGTAACAAGAGCAAGTCATTACTATCGTCGACAAAATTACAATGATGAAACGAAAAAGAGGAAAAATTCAAGTGACACAAATATCACAGGTTTAAAACAACGTTTTGGCTTGATTATTATAATAAGACCTGTAAAAGGTAATTATAGAAAGATACTGAGGATACTGATGAAAACATTGAGATCGAAATCGGTTGATGGTGAAACAAGCGGTTATTGCAATTCTAGGCTGAAGGTCGTAAAATAATGTGATTTTCACAATTTTTAACCGTTTGTGGTTCGTATGTGTAGTAACATTAACCAATATCGATGAAATTTTCAGCATGTACAGGGTGACCCAGGTAAAGTGTTACAATCTGCTCCGAAACTATTAGCGATACCGACTTGAAATTTGGACACGTTAAATGGTTCAAAGGGGCTAATATTTTAAGGTGCAAAACTTCTGGGGATGAATTTCATATTTGTGAAAAGGGCGCAACCCCCAATTTTTTTAAACGGAACTGTACATTAATTTTTCATTATTCTGATATATGTTGCCAAGATTTACAACTTTTATCTGAAACATTTCTTTTAAATTCTAGTTAAAAAATTATAGCTAAGGATAACGTTTTTAAGAATAATTTTGGGGCGAGATAAAGACGATGAAAATGAAAAAAATGTAGAATTTATAAACATTAATTAAGTCTGATAAAAATGATTGAAATGTGTAGTTTGTGAGTGTGATGGGTTTTATGACTGAAGATTGAGCGAATGTTCATTCTCAAGTTTCGAATTCCAATCAGTTCGAGCTCGGATGACATTGTTACGAATCGCGATATGTTTGTTGCGAAACCGATAATTGTCCCTCTTTTTGAGTCAGACCATTTAAGGAATCTACTCGGGATAGGGGACTCGGGTAGTGCTCGGAAGATGGATTATTAACGTACAACAATTTGCTGTTAAAACTATATATTTGTGAATGAACGTTGTGCAGAGCGCGAAATGTCTAGGCTTACTGATAGGAAAATTGTGGTGTTCGCTATTTTATAAACTACGTGTGTGTTGTGATTGGTGGTGTGAAAACTGTCGTAGGTGTCTGTTTTATATCTTAGGGCATGTGGTGTCCAGGTGTGAGAGTCGTCGAATTTTTGGTATAATAAAGTAATTTTCCCATGCCGGCTAAAACCTCGCTTTTTAGAAGGTGCTGTCTATTGAAAATAGCGATGTTATTGTTCGGCTTGTCGGTACGGCCGAACAACCAAAGCGGCGTCTGTTACGCATGTGACAACATGAAGTAAATTCTAAGAATTGATTTTAGGGCGTGATTATGGTAGAAAGAATAAATAAATGCTTAGAAATGAATGGTCAACATTTTAAACATCTGATATAATAAATTTTAATCATAACTAATGTTTATTTTGATCATTTTTGTCCCACCCCAAAATTATTCTTGAACAAATTATCCTTCGCTATAACTTTTTAACTAAGCAGAATAAAGAAAAATGTTTCAGATAAAAGTTGTAAATCTTGACAACATGTGTCAGAATAATGAAAAATTAATGTACAGATCCATTTAAAAAAATTAGGGTGTTGCGCCCTTTTCATCCCTAGGAAATTCATCCCCTGATGTTTTGTACGTTAAAATGTTAGCCCCTTTGAACCACTTAACGTGTCCAAATTTCAAGTAGGTGTCGCTAATAGTTTCGAAGAAAATCGAAAATTGACATAGATCTACAAAACGTATGTTTCAAATTTTCATTAGAAACTCAGATAAAAAATTTGCAAACAGTGACCTTTACGATTTTCTTCACGATTTCCACAAATTGCAATTTTTTCACAATTTTTTGCACACGTCATCTATGTACTATACTGTTTTGAAGGGTGTACGTAGACTTTTTTGACTCGGTGTATATTGTAACTACTAATAAAGGTCACCTTAAAATCTCAGAAGCACATCCACCTAGAGAAGATTTATAAACCACCATATGTTCCACCCCACAAAACAGGGTAAGTCTTATTTGAAAGATTCTTTGAAACGAGCTATAATGTGGAAAATAAATGCCTGCGAAATTTCAAATGGGACACCCTGTATATAACCAAGATTGTACCGAGCATTAAGCCTCATACAATAAACAAATACTACTACTATTAATCACGGCTATTGCCATTTTTATTAGATCTTTTCATAATTATTTAGGCAATTTTAAAAAATATTTTGTTTAACATAAATACGTAAATTTTAATGGAACACATTGCCTATCGACACTATTATATCATTGAAAATTGTAAGAAATACTGATACCTAGATTTTATTTCAGTACACACTTCGCGTAAAGATTTATCGATAAAATAAGAAATAGAAAATACGCACTCTTGATATCGTTGAAGCTCTGCTTTCACATCAACGTGCAGTGCAGGGAACATTTTTTGATAGGACGTCACGAGCGTATCGAACTTTTGTGAGAATTTGTCGAAGTCTCCGAGAAGGTCACCAATTCTAAGCCCATTTCTGGCAGCTTTGCTCGAGTATGTTGGTCCAATTCCTTTCTTGGTAGTACCGAGAGATTGTGTACCTTTTTCTAACTCTTGTAAACCATCAACTTGCTGATGAAAATCAAATACAATGTGTGCACGGTCAGAGATTACCAATCGTTCTTGCCAGTTTTTCAATCCTTTTGCTTCGTTACTTTCTAATTCTTCGAATAGACCTGGTAGATGTATTACTACCCCATTTCCTGAAAAAAATCGTAATAAAAATCACATTTAGGTTACAGTTATCACACTTCGTTACAAAGAATATTTAAAAAAAAGATATAATGACGATATCATGTATTTTATGATCGTGTGTACTTCTTTTGTATATCTCAAATTCAGAACTATGCTATTCCACAGAGTCTGTCTAGCAAGAGCGTGACCGCTATAATTTTTATCTGATAGTAATTATTGAGAAAATCCACGAATAGTCAGGTATGCGAACGTTGTAGAAAAAGTCTCAGTTTTTCTTCTGACTTTCATAAGGAAACGAAATTTTTCGCCTCAAGTGTCGTGTATACGCTGAGAGCAAAAAGGACAGCCTGAGCACACATGAACATCAATCGCAATTGGAATAACGTCATCTTGTCAGATAAAGCTTCCTTGGAGCACAATCTATTGTTTACCACATCTGGGCTTCACACACCAATAGATTAGCCCAAAAGACATTTAAGTATCACACCTAGTGAAGGTACATAATTGGAGGTGTTTCTTTAAACAAGGATTCGGAACATTGTCCGTTTTCACGGAGACTCGGGCAGAGCGTCAACTATCGAACAGTTTAATCTAGCATAGATATCTAAAGTCTATTCTTTCATACATGTTTATCTCTAGTTCTCGTCATTCTCGTCTCTGTTCTTTTTTGTCTAATATTCTGTGTAATATAAAGGAGGTGATTTGGTTTTTGGTCCAACATGACGGCGATTTTCAAACCGATCACACCAGCCTAACTAGCGAGTTCACTAGTTTCGAACGGTATATGTACTATATTTATTGGAAATGGGTTATGAAAAAGAAATAGTCTTTTAACTTTGTAGTATGCTATTATATTTATTGACGGACTTAGAGGAAACATCTTTACGCTGTTGAATCTTCTAAAGGTCTGTGTCTGGGCACCCAAAAAGAAAGTTGGGGTCCCATACCTAGGAACTGTTTACTTTATGGTATCGCATTGTGCAGTGCGTGACTCGAAGACGGACACCAGACATATCTGGTGGAAGTCTTAGTGCCTTTGTTTAAAATAACGCTGAGACATTTTTGTCCTTACTTAATTATTTCCTTAGGGTGTTGTTAGAAATAATCCAACAATATTCTTCACATAAGGTTTTTGTACTTCAAGATGGATAGTGATGAATTATCGTTGAATAGTGAGAATTCTAATGGATCAAGCGAGTGAATGGATAGCGATGTACAGTTCAGTTTTATCAGGCAGTGAAACAGATGATTCCGATTACAATTTTCCTGAAATCGATACGAATAATTTACCTTCTCCGTCATCAAGATTTCCGTTCACAAGTTCTCCAGGCGTCCACATAAATAACGCTACTAATGATATACTTAGTTACTTTGAATATTTTATCAATTCTGAACTACTGGACTTGATAGTTCTAGAAACAAATAAATATGCCGATTACAAAAGTAGTGCCGGAGAACTTAAGAATCTCTCACGGCAGAAAAAATGGCACGAAACCAACAAAAATGAAATATACGTCTTTCTATCGCTCCAGTTACTGGAATCCGTAATTTGGAAACCTACTATAGAATCGTACTGGTCTAGAAAGCCTATCATCGATACACCGTTTATTAGGAAGATTATGTCATATCAAAGATTCCGTTTATTGAAAAGTTGCCTTCATTTCGCAGATAATAATTCTGCCGTACCACATGATCATCCAAATCGAAAACTCAATCAAATTTGGCCCGTGTTTGAACGCATCAATCGCTCGTTTATGGCAGCAATGACACCGTTACAAAATTTTTCTGTGGACAAAAGTTTATTACTTTATAAAGGTAAATTGAGTTGGAAACAATATCTGGTGGAAGTCTTAGTGCCTTTGTTTAAAATAACGCTGAGACATTTTTGTCCTTACTTGATTATTTCCTTAGGGTGTTGTTAGAAATAATCCAATAATATTCTTCACATAAGGTTTTTGTACTTCAAGATGGATAGTGATGAATTATCGTTGAATAGTGAGAATTCTAGTGGATCAAGCGAGTGGATGGATAGCGATGTACAGTTCAGTTTTATCAGGCAGTGAAACAGATGATTCCGATTACAATTTTCCCGAAATCGATACGAATAATTTACCTTCTCCGTCATCAAGATTTCCGTTCACAAGTTCTCCAGGCGTCCACATAAATAACGCTACTAATGATATACTTAGTTACTTTGAATATTTTATCAATTCTGAACTACTGGACTTGATAGTTCTAGAAACAAATAAATATGCCGATTACAAAAGTAGTGCCGGAGAACTTAAGAATCTCTCACGGCAGAAAAAATGGCACGAAACCAACAAAAATGAAATATACGTCTTTCTATCGCTCCAGTTACTGGAATCCGTAATTTGGAAACCTACTATAGAATCGTACTGGTCTAGAAAGCCTATCATCGATACACCGTTTATTAGGAAGATTATGTCATATCAAAGATTCCGTTTATTGAAAAGTTGCCTTCATTTCGCAGATAATAATTCTGCCGTACCACATGATCATCCAAATCGAAAACTCAATCAAATTTGGCCCGTGTTTGAACGCATCAATCGCTCGTTTATGGCAGCAATGACACCGTTACAAAATTTTTCTGTGGACAAAAGTTTATTACTTTATAAAGGTAAATTGAGTTGGAAACAACACATGCCACTAAAGAGAGCAAGATACGGTATAAAAAGTTACTTATTGTGCGAAGCAGATTCGGGATACATTTATTCGCAAATTATGTATACGGGAAAGAACACGGTTATAAGTGAAAAATACAAAAATCTAACCATGCCAACACAAATAGTACTGTCTCTAGCAGAGCCATTATTAGATAAAGGATATTGTATTACTACTGACAACTATTACTCCTCTCCCGAATTAGCAACTATGTTACTGGAGCGAAAAACTGACACATACGGGACACTAAGGACGAATAGAAGAAACGTACCGACACGTATAAAAACAGAGAAACTAGAAACAGGTCGTATAATAGCATTTGAAGACCGCAAAATCTGTATTACGAAATGGATGGATAAAAGAGAAGTTACGATTTTATCAACTATTCACAATCCAGAATTTACGACAGTAACCAAAAATAATAAATCAAAGTGCAATCTGAAAGCAATATGCGATTATAATTTGACAATGGGTGGCGTTGACAGAGCCGATCAGAATGTAAAACATTACCCCACGACAAGGGAGCGAGGAAAGAAATATAATTATAAAATTTTCATACACCTATTAGACCGAGCCGTTTGGAACGCGTTTGTGTTGTACAAAAAGGGAGGCGGGATGAAAACGAATTTCCAGTTTCGACTCGAAATAATAGAGGGACTAATTTCGAAGTACCATGTCAGCGAGTCACCAGGACCAAGTAAAGCAGGGCGACCAAGTTCTGCCCCACCACCAACTCGATTAACTGAGACACTTCGTAGAATTCATTCCACCAAGTGAAAAGAAAGACAAACCTACAAGGCAGTGTACAGTGTGTTGCTCGAAACGGAATGGCGAAGAAAGAATTAGAAAAGAAACAAGATACTACTGTTCAAATTGTGACGTGGGATTGCGTACACCGTGTTTCAAAGTTTATCATACGAGACGAAATTATTGAACAGGTACTTGCAGAACATATTTTTTCACACATCATATATAGAAACATTTTACAACATAAAAGAATTAAGCAAAACTCTAATTTTATTAGACTGTTAACACTTTACCAACCGGTAGCCTAATAATCGGCTTTTTGCCGCCAACGCTTTTTGACCGATAGCCTATTAATCGGTCAAAGTTTGATTTAACATTTCTATAGGTTGTTACGTACGCAGACTAGCCGACACGGCGGCGCCGAGACCTAGCACGCACCCCCTAGAAGGCCCTTGAGATAGAGTAAACGAACGCATTCCGTTCTCATCGAAAATCTAGGGCCCCCACCACCAAAAACCACGATTTTTGGTGTATATAAGGGCACGATGTTTGATGCTCAGGGGCTCAATCTTTTACCAGAACGATACTCCGCCAGTCGGAACGCGAGCAAGATCGGGTTGTAGTTCCATTCGAGCACAGAATTATTATATTCTCAATACGGTCTAAGACACTCCCGCGCATCATATTCTCGCCCAGTAAAGAATTAACCATCTGACTATTTAACTATCATTGTAAATGATCGAAGCAACTTGTAACTTCGCGTTTATACTAGAATATATAGCTTTGTTAAGTCAGACTCGTTCATTTCAACCAAACCTCTCCTGAGTAACATTAGTAACGAATCGGCTAGACTCACAAAGATATACCTTTACCGCTCGAGGTATATCTAACATTACGATAGGCACAGTCCTCAAAACCTTCCAACTGTTCCATCCTTTGGAGAACGACGTATTAGCCACATACGTCGAAGGTTCCAATCCTATCGGACTTACTGGAGTACGACGTATCAACCACATACGTTGAATGTTCCAATCGGTCCATCAAAAACCAACATTCCGCTCCGTGTGAGGACACGAAGCGTAACCCGTAACAAGGTATAAGAAAAAGCGCATATGTTCCCGCGCGAAAGCCTAGAGTCTAAACAGAGCCGGTGTCAGCGATGTACCTGTGGCCGAGTGAGCGGTCGGAAGCGCGTGGGATCTTCAACCGCTACCGGTCGGTAAAGTGTTAAGGGGTTAAACATAAAGAGAATAGTGAAAATTTAATAAAAGAACTTTTTTGCCATCGACAGAAAAGTAGTCTTACAAGAGGATAATGATCCCTGAAACATAGGAGGTCGCCTCTAGACACAGTGGAAAGCAGGAAATGGTATTAATGTTTTGGATTGGCCATCTCAGTCACCAGACACGAATCCAATCGAAAATATTTAGATATACACACATGAAAACAATTAACACGACAGATACGGTTAATATGGAAGTCCCTATCCCGAAAATATGCGGTGAATTTAGTTGCAAGCATGTCCATGCACTGTGAGGTAATTTTAGACAACTATGGCGATAGAACCAGTTATCATCCC